AACCCTACAAGGAATTGCCAAATTGTATTGATTTTCTTATGCAAAATGCATGCTAACTAAGAACTCCTTGTAATTTTACTTTATACCATCTTGATTAGTGACAGATTTAGTGAATTAGAGTGGTATAGTATTGCTTCGTTTCTTCAATATATTACTAATAAATCTAATTACTAATAATGATTAAAAATCAGTTTGATAATTATTTGCTATTCCTATCTCAGTATATTCATTGAATTGGTTTTTGTGGTTCAGTAAATCCTTTAGTTAGTGATTCAGTTAGGCGATTTAGCGATTCAATCAGAAATTTTATGATTCAGTTAGGAGTTCTGTTGAAATAGTTAAGGATTTGGTGATTCAGACAGGTATTTAGGAATTTGGTTAATGCCGCAATCAGTGATTTAGCGCTTTAGCTAGTTATAGTTTTGATTTGGTTATTTAATTATTAAGATAAGCTGATAAAGTTTACAGTTTAAAACTAGAGGATCATTTTTACTTTTAAAAGTTTTACAATGCGATACTTAATATTAAATCGCGTCATACCATATTAACATAAAACTTAATCTTTCGTATGACTTAGTTAATAAGTACCTTCATATTTATCGTAATTTACTTTTACTGCTTTTAGTCACCTCTAAACTCAAAATCCACCAACATTCTAAAGAAGTGAAAATTTCGATACAATTTTTCGCTTCTTCATGCCCATACTTAATTCTCTCAATTGAGCTCCACGAACTCATTGGAAAGGAGACTCGCTGTAAAAAATTGGATATATTTTTTCACTCCTTTATATCAAGATGACACTTAATTTTCCCTTTAAAATTTAACTAGCAACATCATCCAAATAAAGAATTGAAGTGAAAATTTTGATGAATTTATTTCACTTCTATATGTCCCAACGAAACTTATTTTCTCCCAATTAAGTCTATCGAACAATATTATTCCAAAATGAAGACTCGAGGAAAAATCTTTGATGCATTTTGTGCAATGTTATATGCTTGGAACAGAAATAATTTTTAAAAAAAATAGACAGAAGAATAACACATATTTCTAAATTATTCAATATACCTAAATTCTTTTTGTTTACAATAATTAAAAATCGTGATGCAATTCAATAGGCAGAAGAACAAAGTGTTTTAATTCTATGAATTTTTTTCGTGAAGCAAAATTTTAAAATCTGGAAAGAACTCTGAATGACCTGCTGAAGTTTATGCGCAATATTGAAAAATGTCATTCGAAAAAAATAAAAAATATTTTTAACCTTCGATGTTTAATAATACTTTTTCTTTATTCACATAAAAAAATCTGCGTATTAGTGAGTTTCATAATTTCATTTAAAGTGCTGCATGTTTCTGCCAACGTAAGTTCAGTATTTATAAAATATATGTAAATATTTGCACTAATTTTATGTAGTCACGGTATAACGTCCGTTTTCGTTTGGGCCACAGGGGTCGTTATATCGAGCGTCGACTGTACATCGCTGTCTCAAGTTACGTGATTTATACATTGAAAATGTACTAGTCCTAATTATCAGCCATAAATGTAAGATACTTCGGTTACATGAATAAAATAATGATGATGATCGATTATTATAAATATTTGTAGATTATTTTGTAGCTTGATCAACAAATGTTATTCATATAATGTAAATAAATTAAATTTCTTTATGAATGGAGCAATCTTCAATTCGAAAAGAAATTGCAATCATTTTTCGATTGAGTTTTGAGAAGAAAAAAAAAATCAGTTGCCGAAAGTACATCCCTTTCTATTTTCTCAATCACCACCGCTCCACTTATGGAAAAAGAGATACAGCAAGACTTCCGCTATGCGTCTCGCGTGTCATTGATTGGACGGAGTATTCTGTGACGTCACTGATCACCGTTCCAGCAAATGGCGTCACGTCTTTTGCTCTCCTCGCTCTTTACCCTCCGCCTCTCTTAGCCAGAAATCGTTGGGGTTACCAGTGCGCCAAATGAAAACTTAAAACTCTGCCAAATAACGGCGCCAGAATCAAAATTCTGCACAAGGGAGAAAAACAGCTAGCACGTGGCTTTAGACGTTTGTTTATATTGTGACTTATGAACGAAATTAGAATGCTTAGTTTTTCTACTATTTTGAGCATTTCCTAAAAATGATAAGAACCAAAATTACTACAAAAGTCTTTTTGTAACTTTCGATTAAGATAATTATATGTCATAAGGGAACAAAAAATGGTGTTAAAGAAAACCTAAACTTGGAAGTTAAAAAAGTAAATAAAAATTAAAACGTGAATAAAAATATGAAAGAAGTATATGAACAGAGAATTAAAAACAGTATCATATTTCACAATTTTTTTTTTATTGTTGAATAATCCTCTCCCTCGGTTGTCTAAAAATAAATATCTTTCTATATATTAATAATAATTGTATCAATTATTTATAAAAAGGCATTTTCTTTAACAAACCAGGCAGTTTCTATATTAATTTGAAGAAGATAAACATTAACCCTAGTTTTTTCCGTTGAAGACATTTTTTGATGTCATTGTTATTAAGAATTCTTTTCAAAAATAGCATGTATTTTAAATTGAAATCGTATTCAAGCACCAATTTCTTGTAACTTATAAAATAACTTATTTTATAATTTTTCATTTATTCAGATTAATTGGACTTATTCTTTTGTTCGTTTTCTTTTTTCTGAAGGAAATATAAACGATATTGAATACTGTCTAAACTTCGTTAAGTAACTTAGTATTTCGAGTACTGGATGATCAATTTAGTCGATAAACACAACGCAATGCTGGAGCATTCTGAGGGATGTGTCCTGCCTCATGGTTGACTACTAAGTAACAAGCAAACAATTGTCCTTATATCTCAAAATTTAAATATTTCCCCTCTTTTCTTCAAGGGCAGAAGATGACTTTGATAGATGATACTGCATAATTTTTTTTTCATTCCATTCACTGACTATATGACAACACTACTTATAATACCATCTGATTTACTGGAAAGCAGTACTGCTTATAATTCCATCTGATTCACTAGAGGGCAGCACTTGAACCTATTTCTCTTCAGCAGTTATCTCTGACAAAAAGAAAAGAAAAATAGTTTTTTTTGTCAACTAATAGAATTACTATAGAATGGTGACATCCATCACTCACTGTAAAAAATAGCTACTCAAATTTCACTGTACTTTCTTCATTTTTGACGGAACCGTTTCCTGGTATATGCTCCGAGCCTGAGCGAATATTTCGTCCGCTTGACGAAATTACTATTGTCTCAGACTTTAGGGAAACGAATTTCGTCAAAAGTAAAGAAATATTTCGTCATTCCAGTTTCGTCAAATTAAGAATTGCTTTCCTAGATTTGAGATCGTGAGATAACGATGAGGCTCATAGTTGAGGAAAAGTTTTCGTCATATATTTGAGAGTTGGCATTTCAGTACAAATCATGTGCTTTCGTGACAAAATAATTCTCAAAATTAGTGAAATGTAGTTCAAGAATTTCTGAATCGTCAAAAGTGAGATTTCTATTTTTGAGGGTGCAGAGACGTAAAATTATTATGACATCTGAATTCACAATCTCATTAATCCCGTTCATTCTGTTAAACTTATACCCATTCATTCTGCTAGACAATTTTCTCTCAATATTTTAATGTGTGTTTAATCTCAAAATATTTTGGTCAGGATACTGCACTACCAATTTATTACTAGGCGATATTCGCAAAGAGTCTGATTTCCCAAGTAGCTTATGCCCGCAGAAATTTCGATGCATTATGATCTAAATTAAGAATTTTAAAACATTAGAAAACACCGCTTATCTTTTGATTATGTCGGGATTTATGATTATGTATTATAATTATTATAATCGGAAACTTCACTTTTTTGGTAATTTGAACAGGCAGAGGTATCAATTAGTTCGGATTAGCGAGGTTTTCTTAAATTAATATAATTCTTCTCATTCAGAATCGAAATATTTACTTTAATAATTTTTTTTTCGTAACTAAGCAGAAAGGAGTTTTCTATGACTTACGATTTTGTTTGAATTATTTTTCGAGCAATATGTTTATAATGTATTGTTTCTTAGTGGAATATTTTATAACAATCAGCGTTTCAAGAAATGCAATTTGAACACAAATTGGCTTGCAATGGAACACTGTAATCTAGAGACAACAAAAATTCATGTCTGCTTCAAATTATAGAAAAATTGTACTTATTTTATAAATTAAGAGAAGAAAAAAAAGAATATAATCTATAGAGATAAAAACATCTCTAAAAAATTCAAATTAATAAGCAAGCTAATAAGTGAAATAGTAAACAAAAGTTTAAGAGCCCATACATTCATTTGAGGTCGTTCAAATATTACTTAAACTGCCAAATGGGGTAGAGAGTATAGGATTTGCTATTTTTGCTCAGAAGGGGAAGAAGATATATGAGTAATGCTTACGTAAGAAATGAGCAATGCTTACGCAAAACACTAAAATCTTCTTTATTTCAAAAATTTTTAAAATTCAATAAATAAATGTAAGAAAATAATAAATAAATTAAAATATGAATGCAAAATTAGAAAATTTCAAATTTGAAGCATAAGTTGAATTTAAGGCAAAGTAAAGTTAAAAAAACAATTTCTTCAAGAAATTTAAAAAAAAAAAAATAAAGGGTGAATTTTGTTTTATCGCAAAGTTACATTTTTCGTTTGATTAATTCTTAAAATAAATACTGATTCTATTATACCACAATAAAAGTCGAAGTTAAAGCTATGAAAAAGGAGGGGAGATAGATACGACTTTCTTGCATAAACATGTGAGGGGTTTGTAATTCACTTAATTTTGCTGACAAAGGGGCTAGGAGTCCAAAATTGTCAGAAATGTGCTTACTTAATATGATTGAACTTTGTGTTTTGAGTTTTTGAAATTTCTTTGACATAAGTATCATATTATTACTGTTCGTAATAGAAAGAAATTAAATAGTTTATTATTACTGTTTAAAACATAAATAAACTAATAATAATAATAATAATACTCCAAAGAAATTAATCAAAAGCATCACGCAAAGTTTATGTTTAATTTTTTAGTAAATAAATGCAGTTGACTTTTTGATATCGAGTAATTTAGACTAGCGAGTTAATATTTTATTAAATAGTTAATATGCTGACCTAACCAAATGAATGAATTTTAAAAATTTAATTTTTTAAAGTTCCAATGCTTAAATTAAATTTAACCTCTTTTGGAGATTAATTCAAAGCGAAATAAATTTAAAGAAAAGTCAGATAAAAAAGAAGAGAAAAAAAAGAGAAGAAATTTCGAGTAAAATGTGGTTGGAAGATATAATGGTTCTTATTTGTAACGAGTCGTGAAAACGTTGCCATACGATCTATTCTAATACCGGTAAATAAATACAATCGTCGCTGCTTCAATACAAAAAGCTACAGAAGAGAAAATTTCATTTTTCATTATTCGCGGGCTTAAAAAAAGGTCACAATAATACATCTCCAAGCATGACTCACGTAAAATCAGCACCGAAAACCACTCGAGCGCGAAAAAACTCTCTCGCGTTCGAGCCGAAAAACGCCAAGGACATAAAATACGCAGATGCTCAAATCGAAAGAGAAAAAAAAAAGCACAAAATAAATTTTCACGACAAAACCAAATTTTTCACTCTAAGGAAGAAAAAATAAAATATTTCTTTCTCACCCACCATATTGGAGATAGTATCGCCAAATTTAGTAACCCTCCCCAACTCATCTAGTGGAAAAAAGTTCGGGTTTACTCTGCTCTTCCATTTGGCTGAAAGCGCGGCTATTGGTCGAATCTGATTATCCAAGGAGGCTCAATTATGCCACACGATGGTAAAGCAAGACACAGTGTACAAGAATTAATATCATTCGCCACCGTAGGCTTTTACTGGCGCTAGTGCTCTATCTTGACTAGCTTTTTGAAAGCTATCACATTCGTAATTAAATATTTTGGAAGTCAACTTATTTTTTTATAATTATTAATTATCAAGAACCCACTAAAAATAATATCAATGTTTGAAAGAAGAGTTGTGCGGTGATTTGCTGCAAAGATAAAAATCGTCTGCAAAGTCTTTGTTTTTATTCCTGTTGTCATACAAGTCAAACAACGTGTTGTTTACTAAAGTTCTGGCGCCGGCCGTGCAGTTAAACTTCATTATGGACTTGAGCACGGCTTATCGCTATAATGCTAGTATGATGGAATATTACTCATGTAAGTACTTGGTCTTGCATGCTGTGTGTGTAAATGTGTGCGCGCGGAGAAGCGTGCGTTTGTATGTTTGTGGATCAGTGACGACGCAAGTAAGCGTGACCAAACGGTTTTCCCCACTTACCTTTATTCGATTGTTTCGTTTGCCAAATCGGAGAAATTTATATCGTTTGATACAAACCCTACTTTTTGTTTATCGTTCATAATAATTTATTGTTTTCTTTTTTTTTTCTTCATTTAATGTCACTTTTGTTATTAGAGTTGCTTTGGAACAATACTTCGAGAGACTTCGAGCAAACGATTTTTACTATCCTATTTTTCTGATATTTTTTATTTTTCATGTTATGAAAGCTGAATTTTAAATTCAGCAAATTTAAAACAAAAATTATTATCGTAGTGTTCCACTATTTGTATTTGCTGTTATTCATATTTCGAATATCATGAAATATTTAGACAAATAATAGGGAGCATTAATTTACAACTAAAGACGAAAACTGAAATTCAAATCAAGCAAAACTTTTTAAATATTTTTTATTTAGCTTTTTTTTCGCAACTTGTGATTTGTTGATACATTTTTTCCGATAAATATTTCGAATGATAAAATGTACAAAATGTAATTGATTAAGCCAACAAAATATCTGACAAGCAAAAACTTTTATTACTTAACAGTGTTGACATTTTATAAATCTTCTTTTATTTTGATCAAACATATTTTAAAAACGGAAGCTTTTGACTATTTCGGGGAATGATGCTATTGTATTTGCAAATGCAACTTACTTAAAAATAAGTGCCAAAATTATTTTTATTTAGAAAAAGAAGTAAACAATTTTTTGTTATTTATTTGATAGATTCTAAAAATAGAAACTAGCATTTAAATCCAAGAATCATACGGAAATAGTTACCAAATTTAGTTATGCTATGCATTTGATGAAGTTTGTTATTTAGATGTATTCGGAGTTTACCGTTAATAAGGTATATCAGCTTCATGTGTTTTATAAGTTTCTGCTTTATTTCATGAGATAAAACATATCTACATTAAGTGAACATGTTATTATATATCTTAATTGCATATATGAGTGTTTGGCAAACGATTTAATTATCTTGAAATGCATGCGTAAAATCGTTTAGCTAGAAGTCTAAATCTGCGCATTCGAAAAAGTAAACAACTGCTGATTAATTAAATAAATTTCCATAAAAATAAATACATGAAAATACATTCCCTCCTGAAAATTTAGAGCAAACTTCTAATGATTTATTTGAAATAAATTGCATAAGACAGAAAGAGGTAATGATTGATAAAATGTGTAGAAATAATTTAGGAAATTTTGAATACCTTATTGCAAGCGATCGACAAAAATACCGGTATTGAATTTTGTAAATTAAAATATTTAAGTTTTGTCATTATTTATTATTGAAGTTACATAAACAGTAAATTATAATGTTTTTTTTCCCTTTTACAGTTAGTTAGATATAACTTTTTTTTTGTATAATAATGTATTGTCTAAAATAGCTTTTACATAAATTCTGGTTTTTCTAAAATTTAGTTAACTTAGTATGAATATTACGTAAACAATTTCAAGGATTGAAAGCAGATCAGTAATTTGATAATTTTTAGCTAATGATTTGATATTTTTTAGATATTTATTCGATTTAATAGAAATATTGGTATAGTTAGATTTTGTTATTTATGATATTGTTTTAGTATGATATTTGTTGTGATACTAATTTGATGGAATAGCAACGGTCTTATATGACCTATTAAAAAAAAGCTTATAAATTGTAAAGAATAATAACAATAATTACAAAATATAATTAATTTACAGAAGTTCTTTTTAATATAGTATGAAACAGTGTTTTGTAATAAAAATATATGGTATAAATCGGTAAGTAGTGTTGACTTATCGTACTCGAACCATGGTAATCATACCACGATATGCAGAATAGCAACATTACTATCGATTTTTTTTATATCATGGATTATTCGAGTTACAATAGTTGATAATGTAGTAGATCAAACGTGAAAATATGAATGAAAAGTTTTACATTTAAAATTAAAATACAAAGTAAATTATTATTATTATTGTAATTTAATTTAAAATCGAAATAAAACATTTTATCTGTTCCCGTTTATTTTTACTTCTAATATTTATATCGAGTTTGTTTAATGTCAAATAACTGGTGAAAATAATACAAAAACCGTTTATTTAAGTTCAAATATGTTTAAAGATGTAAGAGGAAAATCAACTGCATAATAAGTATCAAGATTTTAACTCAAATGAAATTTTACACAAAAATGTATATTGATTAATTTGTATATTTATGACAAAATACTAAGAAAAAAAAGCATTATTATTTTGTATAATTCAGTTTGGGGAATGTTTCACCGAATACTTATTTTTCTACTATCAAACGAAAAATAAGTATTTGTATACAAATTTTTTATTTTTAATTTAATTTGATATATTTATTTAATATAGAACAGAGTTTTTAACTCTTCTTAATTTCAAAAAATATAATTTTCGTCGTGTTTCGAAAGCGTACGATTAATAACATTTTCTTTACCTTATTTATTTTAAAATATAGTAGCGTATTGTTGCTTTTAATGCATTGGTAAACAGTGACAAGCATATTGATTAAATTCTCTTTCAAAGCTTGTATAGCTGTATTTCTGAAATTTCTTTACCTTTAAAGTGTAAACATTTTGCAAAGATTCAAAATTTACCAATAATTGTAAAGTTATGTACTTATACGAATATATTCCAGTACATTGTTTTCGAACTTTTTATTACATTGTCTGATTATGCTGGCAGTTTTAACAAAGTTGTAATTTATAAATTATTTGAATAATTTTCACCAAAACAATAGTTTGAAAACAGTAAAATATGCAGGTTTCACCAATATTCATAGATCACTATTTTTAAACTAATTGTGATAAACATGCTGATTTATTTTAATTCTGAAGAATATTATTTTCAACCATTTTAAGATAGGAATAAACATTTAACATAAATATCAATTTTTATCGTTTTTTGCGAACTGAGATAAACCATGCATATATCCTCAAATCATAAAAATATTGTTTTCAAATCGCTAGAGTCAAATATGATGATTTCAATTAACTTTAAAATATGCATGCAGATGTTTCCGAAATAAACACACTACTACTTTAAATAGATTTTAGTCCAAATTGAATTTTTTTGTTTAAGTTTTTCAATATAATGTTGTTTAACATGCTAACTTTGCTAAAGTGTAGTTTATTGTTGTTTTATTTTTAAATTCGAGATAAACTTTAAAATTTCTTCAATTGTATATTATTAATTTTAAACTGCTTAAGTTAATCCTGTATTTTTCATCAAAATGTATATACTTATTCAAATAGAGAGTATTACGTGTATATTCAAACTGCTTCAGTTAAGCGTGTGCATTCCATTAAATAGTAAATATATTATTTTCATACTAACTTGAGTTTAGTAATTTTAATTTCATTTAAATATATGATATTATTATTACACTATTTTCACATAATTATAAAATTAATGTTTAGCTAAACATTTAAGGCAAAAAAAATTAAATTATTGTTTTCAACCTTCTCATGTAAAACATGCAGCATTCACTAAATCATCTAACAAGTGATTTAAATGAATAAATATATAATTATGAATGATTAAAAATGTTATTTTGAATGGATAATATTTATTATATAGTGGGAATTTGAAGAAATATATTTATTATAATCAACAAAACTGAATATTTCAATTTATGAAACGCAAATTCTTTTATAATTATCAGAAATCGCAACTTTTTTTTACTATTAATGATTACCTTTTTTTACTTTACTTTTTACTATTAAAATTTTTGTGTCAAAGAAAACAAATATCACCTTCTATTTTATCCATTTCGTTTCATATATTGCTATTTTAATTTCGATATCAATAAAAAAGAAAGAAAAAAAAGCATTTTTAATTTTGATTGCAATATAAAAATTGCACACTAACTGAGTCAATTTGACTTACACACACTTTATCCTTAAATTAAAAATAACGTTTTAATCTGTTTCCGCATCTAACTGTTAATACTTACATTGAAATAAACTAGTAAATGTGAAATTACATCATTTCAATCAATTATGAATACATAAACCTTGATAACTATGTGTAAGGATATTATTTTAAAATAGAATTACTTATTAATTCGCACTATTTTTGGGGATATGTATATTGCTCCTTTTTCATAATTATGCTATGCTTTGCTTGTATTCATACATTATTTTTTGCGGAAATATTTCAATTAAACAATGAGATATGTTTGATTCGTTTAAACAATATTATATTTTCAAATCAAATTTATAGGAATTAATTTTGAACTACAAACGTTTTATTCAATGTACTTTATAATGCCCATGTTTAAAGATTATATTTATAGATTTAGTGAAACCTAGATTACAGTATTACTAATTATAATAATTTTATTTGATCTGAAGCAAATGTATATCTATAATTTAAACAATCTGTTTCATCATTGTTCATCCCCCCATTTTAAATTTTAGATAATCTAGATTGCAGACATTACATAACGTATTGCATTACATATTGCATTAACTTATTTTTATTAATATAATAGTGTACAATTTAAGTGATCTATCCACGTGACCTCTCACAATCTATATGAATCTTGATCTATATGAATTTATACGAGTCTATATGAATATATATGAGAATCTATATGAATATCTAATTATTCTATATGAATTAGATTTAAATATATCATAAGGCAACAAACCTATTTTAACTGATGGAAACATGCATAGTTTAAAAAATCTGCTCCTGAGATCTTCTTATTCGATCTGATTTTAGATTATGCGACAAATTATTTTAACTAATTTTTTTTTCAATGCGTATAATGTAAATTTTTTGATCCTCGTATATAACCTCCTTATTCTATACGATCTGTATTACTATTATATTACATTATATAACGCACTAGCTGATGGAAATATGTATAAT